CTCTCCCGCGCTCTCTCTCTCTCTCTCTCTCTCTCTCTCTCTCTCTCTCTCTCTCTCTCTCTCCCTCTTTAGCCTCCATCCAGGCGACGCTACTACACGACGCGACGGCACGACGCAAGGGAGCCGTGTACCAAAGTTAGAAAGAATACACGAGAAAGAACATCAGAATCATGGCCTGGTACCTATTGCCATGGCTATGGCCGGGGGGAGGAAATGAAAGAAAACAGTAAAGGCGCCCTCTATAAACACCATGAAGCAAAGGGCAACAGCAGACGACGCGTCGCATCGTGCGTCGTGTCGTGCTTTAGGCGACGCGATGCACGACAGCACGACGCGACGGGCGACGGAAGGGGCGACATACGACGCGACGCGTCGTGTGTGTACAAACGAAATGGCAAGAAGGCGACGGTGCGACCCGACGGCACGACACAAGGGAGCTGTCATGCTGTCGCGTCGTGTAGTTGCGTCGCCTACGAAGAGGCTAGAGAGAGGCAGAAATGTGTGTCGTAAATAGTACAGTATTCCAAAAGAGCTTTAAGATGTTTGTTCAAGCCGAGCCTTCGGGGGTTCTTTCAGTAACTCTTTGCGGTCATTCTGACACACTTTTTGTGAAAATCGAACTTCTGGGACCATTTTTCCGAAATACGCCAGCCAAAAGTATACTTTCCACTACTGTGTTCATTCATGCGGGCTGCCTGCGTGTGGCCTTAAACTTCAACCATTAACAACAAAACTGTAAGTTAGCTTGAGTTTAAAATTTACATGTCTATTGATATGGAGTGTAATTACATGCATGCTAGGTTTAAAAAAAAATGCTGAACAGTCCTTGAGATGGCGTTACATGATCCAAAATAACGCGGCTCTTTTAGGGTTAACTAATCAGTGCCAGCTTAATAAATTTTAAAAGTGGAAGAAAGAGGGGACACGTATGTTCATGTCCCTCAATTAGTTGCTGCGCATGCGTACTGAATCCCACTACGGCCAGAAGCCAGTAAAATCATGGCTCTTGACTCAGGCAGGTGGACCCCAAAAGTAATCGATCAAGACCAGATACAGCTTTTTGCCCCTAATTTCCTATACCGATTAAATCTAAACACTTAAAGTCCCTTTTGCTAACTTGCACACTACAAAAATCCATTTTCTGCAACTTTTTGCACGTAATTGTCACGTACCTCCAAAGTAACAGAGTCAGAAGTTGGAAGTCAAGCCAACATTTTAGAGGGGATTTTTTAGTTTTGCTGGATTTTCCCTGACATTTCTCAATTTGTGAATGATGAGGAATATCATGATCACTCTAATGAGAAAGTATCATACAAGAAGTAAACCGTGTGAATGAGAACAGAAAGTTCTATTTTTTTGGGGGGGTGCTGTTTAGTAGGGCATTTGACGTCATTGTATGTATTAGAGAAATGCAGTAAAAGTCAACTTGTATCCGTGTGTTTTTGCGTGTACGCCATGCCCAAAATCTGGACATCTCATTTTTGGCCGCATGAAAAACGAACCGCAATTCAGACAAATGGCTCTTTGTCTCGAAGAAATGAACTGATGGACACAAATGATTCATTAGTATTCCAGACAGTTTCACCGATGATCTGAGGGAAATTTGATAAAAGTGTGAACATTGGGCACTAAGTAAGGTGAAAAACACAAAAATAGGTCCCAATGAAAAACGAAGTGATTTCAAATAAGCTTTTCTACCACGAAGTAATAAACTTTGTTCATAACAGTTACTAGTATTCCATGTGCCATCAAAGTTATTTGAAGGTAAATCCGGCGAAATTGTGAAAATTAGACATAAGGTTAGGTTTAAATGAAAAAACCCAAAATTTTCCATAATTATCCTTTGTGGTAAAATTGACATTTTCCACTT